TGCCCAGTTCCTCCGCCAGCTCCAGCTCCTTGTCCTCCACCACCAGCAGCACCACTTCCGGTTCCTCCACCAGCTCCAGCTCCTGGTCCTTCACCACCAGCAGCACCACTGCCTGCTCCTCCATCAGCTGCAGCTCCGTTCTCTCCAGTTTCATCACCAGTTCCGCTTCCTGCACCACCTTCTCTGTCTGTCTGCACATTGGAACCTTGGATTCTGAGTGGTTTTCGTTATGGCTGACTGAACATAATCAAACTGTAGTCCAATCGGCTCTGCCGCACAGTTGACCTAGATCCTAGAGGTTCTATATGAAGCAGCCCGCAACATGGTGCATGATCCCTTCTTGACTAATGGAAATGGACCAACACTGCATACAATGGTGCTTCACCTGTGCAAGCATTTTTTGTCAGGCCCAGCCATGGACATGGCTCTTACTGATAAGTCGACACGTCCCCCAACAAAGAAGATCCGCTTCTTCTTAAAGTGGCCTTCGTTTCCCTTGTTGTTCTGAGGCTTCGTGTGCCGGACGCAGGAAACAAAACATGTCGGCCGTCGGGATTTGAAGTTCCCCAAAAAATCGCACACAATAATGGCACCCTTACAGGTCACCGAGTTCATTTTACGATAGTTTACCGGACCTGGTCATACAAAAACACGACGAAAAAAAAGGTCGGTCAAAGACCATGGTTTTACTGAGTCAGACTGGACTTGTAGGGGGAGGTCGAATTTGAGTCGCCGTATCGGTCAATCTGAGCTCCCAGCCACTTGTGTCATCTTGCTTCACATGGATGCGCAAAGGAGTCGACGCAGAGTGTCCATCTTTGTCTGAGCCTCTTGGGTTTGCTAGGGAGAACTTCTTGTGATTCAATCTGCAGTGCAAAACTTGGATCGGAAGATCATACTCAATGATTTGCATGCAAACAACATCGGCTCGTTGGTTCTTCTGGGCAAACGACTCAGGATCTACACAGGGGTGCAAAAGATCGAAGCTAGGTCGACCCTGCAGGCCAAAGATGTGCACATGGTTACTGTACTTTGGTGTTTGGACATAGCTAATGCTGTTGCCAACTTGACGAGAAAAATAACAAATGCTCCATCCAACGTCGCAAATCCACGAAGCTTCGCTCGTTCTGGCCCTCTCCTGTGACCAGCAAGTGCACTTCCTGGTCTGTCTGCGGCGCTGCACCCGAGAGCAGCATGGACTGCGGATTGAACTCCAGCCAGCTTGGCAGAGCACCACCCGTGGCATCGGATAAGGTGAAGGTCAAAAAGTCACCATCGGGGTCGCTGATCACGGTCCTGAGCGTGTTGGATCGTCCCAAAAACACAGCACCAGAGTTGACACCGATCCATGTTCGATCGTACCTACTGCAGGAGTCAGGTGTGGCCTTTGAAATGATCCCAAATAGAAACATGTCTATATATAGTGGCACGGTGTCCACATTCTAGACGTGGGATCTTCCACGAACTTCTATCTATCTTCCCAGAGTCCGACCCATGGGAACTGGTCTATGTCCCTGGCCGAGTTGTGGTGGTGGTGGGGTGGTTGGTTGACCGGGGGGGTCTCTCGATCTGGGGCCATGCGACCATGGCGCCATGCAGACCGGTTCCTCCGCTCCATCGGCCAGTGACCGGGTGGGTCGACCCATGGACGCATGTGTCGACCATACTTGGCACCAGCAAAAGTAGGTATGAAGAAGTTCCTCCAATCGGGTCTTAAAGACCTTAATGTGACTAGGTCTTTTAAAACATGGTCTTGGACTCCCAGGGTATCACCTGAATTTTCCGTATATGCCTTTTCAATCCTTTTCATCTATCAAAACCAGCCAAGGTTATGGTGTCGCCATGGTTTTTGATGGTTTTGGACCACCTTTTCACCCCGTTTGCGCCGTGAACCACGTCCTCCAAGGCACCGTGGAATGGCTTGAGTCAGCGCTTGGCCACCAAGCACGGTGATGTCGGGCAAGAGCCCCGTGACGAAGGGGGAGGAACCGCCCGAACCCACCTTCAGGAGGAAACCGGTCGAAGCCTGGGGCGCTGGAGGCCGCTGGGCTGGGTGCAGCATAGCGCGCCGTGAAGGAGGTTCCTTTGCAAGGGTGAGGAGGAAACAAAGCATCTATCCCAGACACTCCATGGGACTGCCATGTCGGACATTGACCCCCCTGGAACCAACCGTGGCCGTTTCTCGGCAGTCCTATTCCAGTCCCAGCTAGGTCGCGTCAGCATCTATGGCATGCCATGAATCTCTGCCAAACTTGGCTGGTTCTGTGAAAGCACGACGGAAGTCTGCACAGTTGGAAGTCGGATGATCCAGGTCTGGCTTGGTTTCAGAAAACTGAACAGCTGAAACATGCTGAACCTGTCCCTCTCGGCCAGCTGGAAGACGCTGGAAAATGAGACAGCAGGTTCGACAAACAAGACCTATAGAGAGATGTATGAAGTATTCACCCCATAAGGGGTGATTTCAGTGGTCAAGTTAGGTGTATACATATGCCATACATTGATTGTGCGAGAAATGTAAAGGATAAAGAATTACAGTATGTTGCCAATGCGTGGGAGCCTGGTTGAAGCGAATCGAAGCTTGGTTCTGCAACTTGAATAGCAGGCAGATCGGGGGGACAGTTGGAATTGGGCAGCATCTTTGAAATCTGCCCATCAGCGGGAGCAAACTCCGAGAGTGTGATGCCCAGATGTCGCAGTTCACTGAGTGTGTGCAGTTCAGGTCTCGTCTCAAAGAAAAGAAAGGACTGGCATCATGAGGGTCAGGCCTCCACAAGCCCAGTTCTGATGAGCGAGGAGGGCGGACTGTGGACTGTGGAAGCAAAACAGATGGTCTTGCAACTTCTGGCAGTGCTCATGAAGAGTATTTCCCAGCGGCTATCATGTTTCTATATTGGAAGCCCTAGGCAACCCTGTGGACATGTGAGCGACACCATCTTTCATAGATCTTATATACCCAGACGCTCCAAACCCTCAAAACCATTGGGATTGGTTCGGGTCCGGACCCCTCCAGAGGATTCGGGTGCGACCCCCTGCGTATGAGGGTCCAGGAGGGTCTGGGTAAATAGTATCGTATCATCACAAAGGTCGTAACACATCATAGGGCTCAAAAACGTTGAGCGACATCAGCGAGTCAGCGAGTCTGTATGATTTCACATGGTTCATGTCCAGTCACTCCTGCACTGTGTTGTTAACAGTTTACACAGAACTGACATACCATGGATCTCCCAACTATGCAAAATTCCTGCCGAATGTGGCTGGTTTTATGATGAAACGGCTATCATGAGCAGCTCCTCCCAGAACAACCTTTGCTTAAATGGTCCGGAGCTTTAACATGTTTGGACTAACTACTTTAGACCAGGTCAACCTTTCACTCACTCTTCCTTTGTTGATACCGACCCCCCAATTTGATAGAAAAGTAAATCCCCACTATCTATTTGGGACCACAAAAAAGATCTCAACCATCAGCCAGCCGCTGCTGTGGAGCGCTGCAGCCACTTCGGCGAGGCGAGTGGAGCGTGTTTTTGTTCTCCACAAAAACGGGTGCCAAAAGGTGTCTGAGACAGCTGAAAGAGAGCGGATCGAGTGGAGAGCTCATGGAGAGCTCTTTTTGGGTGGAGGGCAGGAGCAAGGACATCGAAGGAAGAGCGGCAGGAGCAGGCAGCGCATCTGCCAAGAAGCGCTTCTTGAAGAAGGAGCAGCATTTGAAAAAGGGCACAAGGAAAAGCCGTCACCGAGAAGGATGTTCGTGCCCAGACCAGACCATCCATGGGACTGGCATATTTACGAAACCACCCCAAGGTAGGTAAATTTGGTAAATATTCCTATCCCATGGAGTGTCTGGAGGATCAGGACGGAAAACCGAAACCTTCGAGTACCAAGTTGGACTGGGGGGCTCCGACAGGGTCACACGTTGGACGGGGGCGGGTCGAACCACCAGGAGAAGTCGCTAGTCACGTTGCGTCCGAAGCGTTTTTCTTGCTGCCCTAATGTCTGTGCATACGAAACGTGTGTCTCGGCCCCCGGTGATGCAGGGGCAGGCCACGCGAAAACGCGAAAACGGCGAAAACGGCAAAAAACGCGAAAACAGCGAAAACGCGAAAACGAAGTAAGAGCCTGTTGGAGTGGAGTCAGAAAAGCACGCCCGAGATTGATCTGGGATTGGAGGTTGTTGTCTTGATGTTGATGATTCGGGAATGGTGGTTGTCACAACGACTATTATAAAACTAGTGCTTGGACTTATAGGGTGTATATATATATATAAATGATACCCCCCCAAAGATCTACCATTTTTATTTGTTTCACGGTTGTGGATGCTCATCCATCAATTTATTGAAAGGGGAGTACCATGTAAATATATATATATACACATGTCTTATTGTATGCTAACTGTTGGGATGCTCACTGCACATCATTGGTTGCAGGGAAGTACGCGTACTGTACGCGTACAATGGTCAATGTTTACTGTACGCTAACTGTTGCGATGCTCACTGCACATCATTGGTTGCAGGGGAGTACGCGTACTGTACGCGTACAATGGTCAAACCAAGAAACCAAGAACCAAGATTGCACAGACCTACTGTTGATGGACAAAATCCTGCACCACCTCACCACTTTACCCTAG